GTTAATTACAAAGCATATTTAACTGTTTAATGTCACTACAGAACCTTATAAATCATATGTAAGCTTTCGTTGTGGTCAACATGATCCTGGAATCAACAATGCATGTGAGAATAACACTACTTGTGTTCTTAACGTCGCCTTTTCTCAACCATGCTGGGAGGTGTTCTCTTATACCTTTTGCATAGGCACCGACTCGTGCAAACAACATAACCTGCTCCACAGAAGCAAGTAAATGAGTAGATACACATTCAGCTGGTCTGAGCTGTAAATTTATTCTTATCTTGTCCCCGTAAAACAGACTTGGTTCGGAATAATATCCGAAGAAGAATAGGCACACATTGGCCTCCCGAAGCAAACGAGCTGCGTACTGGGTAGCAAAGGTCGCGGACAAGCAGGTTGAAGTCGGCCAGTTTGTAATTGCAGAGGGGAGGGGGAGGAGGGATGGGATAAAATGCGGGTAGATTTAAGCAGCCTGCTTCGGGCTTATTCTGTCTTCCTTCAACCAGTCAAAACCATGACAACCAACTGGGATCAGAAACACAAATATGCGCAGGAATAGGACGCAGAAAGGCAGCACACATTGGGTCTAGCAGATGAGTCGTAAGCACTTAATCGAAGTGAAGGTTATCACTGCCTCGCCACTCGTCAGGCTCTGACCTAGCTGGGTGAAGGCTGCATCAATCTACCCCTATTTTCTATTGTGTCTCCTCTCTGCAAAATGCAAACTCTTATAGCTACTGAGAAAGGCAATCGATTCTGTTATCCCACGCTAAGAACACGTCACGACAAGCCGAGTCCAATACCCTGACTATGACTAAATCGATTTAGTACCCCGTCAAGTGCAAAACAACAACATAGTAGCAAGATGTCCGCTATTGATTCGAAATGCAAACCAGTTAAAATGTAGCGGGTGAAATTTGTACACCCACTTAAACAAAAGGTGATCAATACAATTTACAGAATTCTTAACAGCTATAATTATTCTACATAGTTGTGTACAAATGAAAGTACGATAAAGTTGTAAATAAATACAAGTATGGCAAGGGTCTACCACACTCTCACCATTGGGAAGGTTAGTGACACGGCATGGTCAAGGTGTCTTCCCAGGAGTCCACTGGCGGCATCCCCTTGAAAGAGAACATTGCCGTATAGAGGTATCTTTGCAACAGTAATTTTGTTGGTTTGTACTGGTCTCGTGAAAATAGTACACGGACTAAATTTAACAGGATACCTCTCCTCGCGAAGCAAGTCCTGCCTCTTCTTAAGCTCATCCTCGATACTGTCTGCCGAACAAACTTGTCTAAACCTTTACACCAAGCAACAGACTTGATTGAGTTTGCGTTGGATCGATAACAAACGTTCGAAGCCCATATATAGTTCAAAACAGATTTTATTTCGATAAACGCCCCTTTCGGACGCTACCACCAGGTCTATTTTTGGAAGAATGTCTACCAAAGGACGTGATTGCAAAGACGTCGACAATATGACAACCATGGTGTTTTGGCTTCTTGATCTGATCACTTACTTGACATTTCTCCATTTTGCCTTCGAAGAGAGCGGCTAAGAGAATCCCAAGAGGCGAAGACATAGCAACGTTATCTGTTCATCTGAACAATCGTTTGTCAAAAATGAACTGCACATTTTAATGTACATCTTAGTTATAGTTCCTTTAGAGCATTTGTAATTATTCATATGTTCTGCTGGTTTGTCAATAGAAAATCGCAAATGTAGTCGACTATTATTAGGAGGTACCCTATCTGCGCATGATTATGACTATGATACCATTAACCAATCCGAATCCGAAATGTCAGGACAATAAAATTCTTGTCTAAGTTTGTATATCTTTATCTGTTACTTATAACTACAATTCACCAGTTTTGTTTTTATGCGTTGGACAGTAGTTGCAGTGACGGAACTGAGATTGTAAATTTTGTTCCATATATTACCGCACTAGGTTTCCCTTTTGACCAGGCATCCATAATTTAGGACCCAGGGATAAGGCTTAAATCGATGGTTTATCGAGCTTCATAAAGGAATGCTTGTGTATGTACTTGAAATCTACAACACAGGTTTGTTTCACTCTGGTTGCAAGGTATTAATTCACTAAATATGAAATTATACGAGTTCCCCAAGTCCGATTTATAGCGCAGTTTTATCAGCGTTGCGAGTAGCAAGCTGAGTTAAAGAGGGTATAGTACCTTTCGGTTGTCTCCCACCGCTCAACTTACTCTCTTTAGTCGTCCGTACTAGTGAAACTATAGACCTCGTCCCTCCGATAAAATCTATTTCGGTGCCGCAGCGGCACCGAGGAGGAACAGTATTAAAACGCTGCTTAACGAAATGAACCAAACCTTGTAGTAACCCGATGGGACGACCACTGACCATTTCGAGCCTCCAAGAGCATTTCGTAGCGAGTGGACCGTCCGCCTCCCTCTTTAACTTGATTCACCCGGAGGTCCGCAATGCATATTTAGACGCAACTGCGCCGTTATTTGTTCTGCATAGAAAATGTTCATGGAGCAATGGAGCGGAGAGCCGCAAGGCTAGGGGACAGGGTTGC